TGTACAACATACCCAAACTTGAAATCTGGCATCAAAGGCTGATTTATAAAATTTGCCGTCGCAATTCGAATGATGTATGGATACAGAATACATAACGGGTACAGTAAACCGAAATATTCCATATTTGGCTATATATTGTGCATCAATAAATTCATGTAGACTATGTATTTACCTTAACAGGACTCTTTCCTTCGAATTGTGAGGTTAGCAAGTATGACTTGGTCCCAATAAGTTATGGGGTAATTCAGCTTACGGTTATTCACCCAGTCTTTGCAGGGGCTCATTGTAACCTGGAGTGGGAGAGAGTTGAGAGCACCTGGACTTTCTAATTCAAGTTTTCGACAATCATACAGTGCTCATACTAGAGGTATGGGGTTCTTGTAGGTGTTTATTTCCTTTAAGTACCAAGTAATGATCTGTAAGTATTGGAACGTCTATTGAGTTAGTCACTGTATTTGGGAAGTGTTATTTACGAAATTGCTATAGTGCTACTTGCCTGCTGGGATGAGAATCTTGAACCTATCAAAATGCTTTGCGGCATATAAGTTTTCATCTGCGCTTTCACTGCACTCAGCTGAGTGAAAGATCACATAACTCTCTGTGTCATCTCGCTATTCCGAAGTATTTTTGTGTCGGAATTTATTTATCCAAACATCCAATAAAACGACAATTTTCAATTCCGAAAGATTTTATCCCCAGCAGAATATTCGTTATTCCGAATATTTAGCCCTCAATGAAAATCTTGCTTTACCCCGATATCGCATAAAAGCAAATGCCCCTTGCTCTGAATTATATTGGACCAACCTTTTCTTCCTACCGTCCTTCTAGTTTTGCCTTCAACCACCGCATATGGTATGAAATAGGCTGACTCAGAAGGTAAGTATTAATAACTCACGGAGGTTGTCGCAAAATGGCTCAGTCAAAAAAACAGCAACCACATTGATAATCATGATGATAACAGTCAACATCCTTTAGTTATGGAGTTACGAAGAAAAAACCGATCACTTTTTTACACCAATATACAAAGCAGTTAAATTGAGGGGGCGGAGCTTAAAACTTGGGGTTGTGAATAAAACAACGAAAAAGGGAACTTTTGCTCTAAAAGAGTTAAATTTTATTGCACTTATATCTAGAAAAGTATTTTACCCAGTTGAACGCACCGATCTACTTTAATTCCATAATATAGAATCACGGAGCTGATGGGCTGACACGGTGAGCACCAAAATTTACCATTCTTTTCAGTCGTGTGCCAATCCCTGGATTAGGGAGAAGTTAATGTCTGACCATACATAATATTGCATTTTCAAAACCCCCTTTGTCTGTCTCTTTGCCTCATCTGTGCTTTGGGCCACATTTTTTGCAAGGCTATTTGATCTTTTGACATGTACTGATGTTTGTACCAACGACGCTTTCTTTTCATATTGACCAGTGTGCATCAAGTGATGCGTTTGTCACCATTGATTTGGCCTTTATATGAAATGCGCAAAGATTACGGCAGTATCTGATTTCAGTTACCAGGTCTGTTGTCAAAATCCATGTCTCACATGCAAGGGATATTGAAGGAATCAGCGACCATAAAAATCTGATCCTATTTGTGATTGCGAGGTTCTTATATATCCCCCCAGAAATGTTTGAGCTTACGCAGATGCAGTTAACACTTTCCTACCTGTAATTTCTGGTTTAGAGCGTTTATCTCTAATAATGGCCCCAAGGTATTTGAACTGACCCACTGATTGGCGAATTTCATCTTTTATCTAAATACTCTTTGTAAAGGTGTCACTTTTATTTGATATAATTTTAGATTTCTCCCCACCGATTTTCATTCCAAATTTTGTGGAGGTTATTTTAAATTGGCGGATCATGTTAAAAAGTTCCTTTTTGGTCCCTGCAATTTCATCTTTGCCATTTGTAAAGTTGATATTAGGGAGATTTTCCCTCAAATATTGATAATACTCGTATGGTTTCCAATGCTTCACTCATGATTCTTTCTATAAAGATGTTGAAAAGAGTAGAAGATAATCTGCACCTTTGTCTCACTCCCACAGTTGTCCAAAGCCATTGTCCTATAGTACCGTAACTTTGTTAAAAATTTGCTTGTCTTTGAATAAAAACTGCAGTAAATGTACCAATCCATTCAGTCACCAATGTGTCCTTACTGTAGGTAGCGGCTGAATTCGGAAGCAAAGTTAGATGCCGATCGAGGCTATACTAGTTTAACCCCCTTTATACAGAAAGGCGACCCTTGTGCCTTTTATGTGCGATCATGAAACTGGCCAAATCACCTGCACCTTTCTATCTTAATAAAGACATCAATGGTTGTCAGTAAGCGTTGGAAGCCGTAGGTTGCATAGTGGACCCACAGGAAAGGCAGGCAAGTTGCTTAGTAGACGCACAGGTCGCTCGTAGTTCAACTGATATGGTCAATGTTTGGTCGTTCTAAGGAGGCAGAAGTACTTATCAAGAGACACGATTTTCTGGCTTTGGTGACCATTGAGCGCCCTGGTCATATTTTTGGTCGCACAAGAGAGGCAGGTCACAGTTCTGTGAAAAGGGCGCCTTAGGTTAGATGGTTGTCTAGGATTCATTAGGCAGGTTAGAGTAGGGATAGGCAGAGGAAAAGAAATAGGAAATTCATATATTTTAAGTATTATATCAATAGCAGCATCTCTACCAGAGTGACAGGGGATCTTTCTTATTCAAAATTAAACTCCACTATTATTACGACTATTTGAGCACCACGACACCATGAGACGGTAACACCGGAGACCAGTCTTCCACCCAATGTTCACTCACTATTATTATTATTATTATTATTATTATTATTATTATTATTATTATTATTATTATAGGTTTAATTCACAATGAAAAGACAAAATGTCACACACAGCATGGAGACATTGGTGGTTTGCGACTCGTGGTTTGTGTTAGGTAGACACTGTTGTGACTAATGAGTTTTCAAGACATTGACGTTGCATTCCCATCGCGCCAAGTTTGCACAGCAGATGACGCAATGCGGTTGCACTCCTAAAATCAATAAGACCCCTACAGCAATTCCACGTCTTCCGTCATTATGAACTATAACTTTCAGAGAGAATAAAAAATAAATATAACAACCATTAATAAAGAAATCAATTGTCAGGGTTCAGTTTTGAACTAAGGGACCTTTGAACTACTATATATATATGAAACATTTTACTTTCGGATCAGAAAACCTTGACATGGATTTAAACTAATAGTACTACCAAGGCTTTGGATCAAGGAAACTTTTGACAAAAAAAATTCAGAACTTTTAAATATGGCCAATGTGTATACATGTACCAAGTGCGAAGATGCCAATACAAAGTCAGATCCTTCTTATTTACTGCCAAAGTTCACACAGAAACAGGTGTATTTTGATAAATTTCAAAGATCAGGAAGTGCAAGTAAAGTATATTGTTACCTTTGAATGAAGATGCATGATGCGTAGAAAGAAACACCCACTATTCTGAAAGCAACTGAGCAGGAAATACATGTGGGAACAGAACACAGGGATGTATTTACACATTAAATTGTGTTTGTATCCGGCCATGGAAACTAAAACACTTTTTTCAATTTACAAGGGGTAATTGAGCCAACACGCACGCGTATATATATGAAGGATGCATGCATGTTTTAACACGTCAGTTTATTTTTCTTTTTAAAAAAATTAAAATATAAAGACGCAGAATTTTTAACTAAGTTGCTATTTTCTATATCTACTTCAAGCTAGGACCTAACATCCATACGATAAATCTCACCTTATATCAGCAGTCTTGCTGGTACCAGCGGCTCATTATATTCAATCGTAAAAAGAACGAATTACACATATGAACAGATGTACAGTCTGTTATGAATATCTTATTTGTTCCCACTGACTATCTGACACCCAAAACACGAAAATACATATCTAATTTATTTCAAGACCATTTCTCCCAATCTTTAAGAAAATGGCAGTTGTTGTTATGACGCATGTTTTGCTCGCCCTTCTGTCTAGGCGTGTATAAGGGAGAAGAAAAGTACGTATCACCCTCTCACAGCTCAACGAAGTTGAGTCAGTATTACAAAAACGGGCTCTGAATCTGAACCATGCAGTTTCTTTCCACTTTTCTGCGAAACAACAGTGGGAGTCATTCGTGCGTGCACTTGAACAACCGCAAACCACGGACGCGCGTTGAGGATAGCATTCTTTGAGCCACCGATCTAAACGTCAAACAACGTATAATTCTGAGAACTTGATTCAAATTTGGCGATGACTGACCCTTAACTCAGCAGGATTATAATTGAGCTGCTTTCCACAAGATCGAGCTAAAAAATATCGAGCTTTAACAGTGCTTTGATTTTCTTGTAATGTTATGTTTCTTCTAACATATATATACCTTCGTTTGCCTCATGATCTTCTTCTCGACAGAAAAGATTTGTGATGTAATAAGTCTTTTGTTAAGTGCTCGCACGGAAACTCAGTTCAGAAACGCCTCTTATCACACACTATTAATACATTCTTCACGTGTTGACGATTATTGAGGAAGTTTTTAAACCTTCCATCAAAATAAATCGTGGACGAAACGCTTTGCAGTAAGTCTCCGTGTTGTAGTTTTGAACTAAAGATCTATGGCTGTCATGTAAGTGATATAAGCGAACCCAATTACCCAGTTCCTTTTCGCACCTGATTTTCACGCCTGCCTTTGGGAATTCTCGGAAGATCCCAGCAGTATCAATTCTCCAGTGATTTTAAATTAACCGAAAGCGATTTCTTCACAGGAGCAATAATATTTCTATAATTTCACGCGGTGTAGAGGTGTTTCCGTCGTATCAAAAGGGTTCCGTGGTGATAGATTATGTGCAGTGAGCCAGTTCAGTGTTATTGAAACCGAACAGGGCTAAGGGGGAACCGTGTGTAACAGAGCATTAAATGTCTTTTTTACAGGATGTATTTGATGAATTAAGAAAGATTTATTTTCTCGTGTAATGAAATTGAAATGATGGCCACTTTTTTGTGTGAATACCTTTTTATAAAAGCATACGTTTTCCTTGAAATTTGCCAAAAGTCCTGCAAGCCACTGAACGATTCCAACGTCGTCGCCGAAGTCTAATGGAACCGGAGAAAAGAATTTCATGTGGTACAGCACCAACTCTTGGAATTTTTCGATGTAAGTGGAGAATCTTTTAATTGACTTTAACTGATACATAATTAAATGTGAGACGAGATATCTAGTCGCTTTTCACACGATCAATATTTTGTAAATCTCTAGAGATGGCACGCTCTCAGCAAGAATTTACGAAGATATGAACCTTACGATAGAATCTAACAATTGAATTAGTGCGTATTTTGAGTTGCCTATTTAGTTTTAATGACTGTCTATATCTCATTTCAGAGCAATTCATTTCGAATGAGGAAGTGTTCCTGAAAGTCTAGAGTCATTATCGCAAAAAACATCTAGTTGTTTTCTTCGAGCAAGTATACCCATCTGTTTGCTACAGAAGCCACCTGGCGGAAGAGAGATGCAGGTAACATACTGAATTTCAAAAAAAAGTATCTTGAATACTATTCCATTCTAACCGAATTCGAGTAACGCTTTAAGAACAGGAACAGAAATTTCATGAAAATTGATTGCAAATAAGGAAGATTAGTATTGAATTTTTTAGTTATCCTTTTATACAATTTAGCCGTCATTGTTAAAACTGGTGCACCTATTTCAATAATTGTCATCATACTTGTAGGCCTAGTTTTGTGCACTTTTAACATACTTTTGTGTGGATGTAAAAAGTAGATTCATTTAGCTATTAAATCGCCTCATGCTCATTTTTACTCACTTTACACACGCCGTGGCCACCACTGTATATATGTATACTGCTAAAACTACCAGGTTATTGCCACAATAACAAATACAACTATTACCACTGTTACTACTACTGCTGCTACTAACATCATCATCACCACCAATACCACCACCGCTACTGCTACTACTACTACTACTACTACTACTACTACTACTACTAATGATTCTTCGACTTTTAATTATCTCTACCTCCGTTTTCTTTTACATCTCCATCTCATTCGGCTTAAGTTTGAGCGTAAAGGACTAAAATGAACAAATACGATTCTTACACGGAAAAAATGTTGCTCTAAAATGTTTAATTTTATACCTTTTTATCAATTATTTTACATAAAAGGAATGGAGGCTATTTTGACCAATACAGGCCGTTTAAAGTATCGAACTATCTTAAAACATTTTACCTGAGAATATTTTACCTAAGAATATTTTTACTAGTTAGAGAGAGAAACACTGTATTGTTTTGCACGGTCCAAAATGGTCTGACTGTTGAAATCCATGAGACTTGCATTTGGAAGATGAGAACTTTACCATTAGACAATGGACTGTACAGCCTTAGTGCATAACTGATTAGGCAAGACACATGACAAGAAGATACTGCGTTCCCAAAACTGTTGCTTGGTGTCATTCAGTACCGACCTCTAGTACAGGTCGGCAGATACTATGGCCTTTCTAAATGCTCTCAAACCATGGGATGTCAGAATCGAATGAAGAAGGGCATATCAGACGTCACTGGGGATCATCTGGGGATCTCTTAAAATAAACGAGAAAAAATGTAGCTACTCATCTGTTTTGCGGGAATTGATTTTTTTTGTTTTTGTTTTTGACATATAGACAACAAATATGATCGGGCATATTTCAAAAGAAACTTGCATTTTATTTATTTATTTATTAATTTTTTTTTATTTATTTATTTTGGCATTGTTGGCAGCAAGCGATATTTACTGCTTTCCAGTTTAGTCAGACGAAATGTTGTTGTTCATGTCTTGTATCTTCAGTAGCCATTTGATATTTACTGGGCAGTATACATGTAAGATCACCGGGTTATGATCAGGATCAAGAGCCGAAGAATGGACGCCTGCTGTTACCTGTTAAGTTCAGAGTTTCCACTTCCTTCCATATGCCTGCACATAAGCCTCATTCACGGTTTGATTTAATGGAAGCAACATCGTGCATATAATCTCTATTAAAGGGCGAGTAAATAATGCTAAGTGTGTGGTTTCTCTGCCGGGGTGGCGCATGTTAAATATAGACTAAGATTTTGATGAATTCAAAAGTGGATTTTTTTTTGGAAATCGTGCTTAATTAAAGTTACGTGAAAAATGCGTCGTGTTGTTTAGACCATACAACAGTGTTTTAAACAGTGCCGTTTCAGAAGCATTACAAAATAGATTGTCAAATTCACATCAACATTTCTTGCATCATCCATAAGAGGCAACTTATATTATTCTTGTATGCGCCTGGATCACATTTGCCATTATACACTGTATGTCCATGCGGTGCTCGTATACTGCCTGTAAATCGTTTTTCGTGCCGCGTCTGTGCGGAGGCAGGCGGTGGCCGTGCAATATCGTTCGAAATCGTACGGACTCACAAAGTTCGTAGCCTGCACGATTTTCGTATGACAAATTATAAAAATTGTAAGCCCGCAGGCTGTAGCACTATCAAAGATGGCGTCGCACATTTCCCGCATGGGCATTGTGCGGTGTACTTGAAGCGATATTGATTGAGGATGAACATGTTGTTTTTGTCTCTCCCCCCCTCCACCTTTGGTGATTTTCAGAGGTGTAAGATAGCACCATTGTCGCAAAATTTCAGAACAAGTGGCGATCACTCCGCACAGTATTAGCTTAATTCCAATCGTAAAAATCAGCAAAGTGAATTTTAATAGCACTATAGTTTTAAAAGTTAATTGAACAGTTAATGAAATGTCAAGATTTAATGGAATTTACTTTTTCTTTTTCCATCAGATATCAACGCAAAACCAAATTTCCTTAGCAGAAGAAGTTGGTTCCAAAGCAAATCGTGAATGTCATTAACATTGTTTGCTATTTGAAAACTGTGTGCCTAGGTGGAAATTCATTTGGTCCAAAAATTTTGTTCCATTTGTTTTCCCTGTGTTCATATTTAATATTTTGACTATTCAACAAAATACTTAAGAAAACTCGACGCAGTACGTCCTCTAACCACCATGTGATGTGGGCCGAGAACCGTGTTATTCCACGAAGCACTTGAACCATGTGAATTTTTCAAAAAATAAATAAATAAAATTATAATAATAATATTAAAACATTTTTTATAATATATTGGCACTTAAAAGTGCAGTTTATGATTTTTATGAATCCGTCCTTTGTTTTTGAGTTCTTACCTGTTTTTCAAAATATCATTTCAATAAAAGGTGTTACAAAATTAGATACTTTTTGTTGGGAGTGTGGGAACTATTTTTCTCATATTAAGGTCAAAAGTAATAAATATTCCGTATAGTTGCACCGCTAAGTGCACCGTTAAAACAGTTTCCCTCCATATGAAATATTGGATAAATTGCCAAATAACATCTAAATGTGTGGTACAACATATCATTTTTCACTGCATATAATAACAAATTGTGCTACAGCTTATTTGGGTTTAAAAATCAGAGCTAGAATAGATTCATTTAGAGTTGCACCGACTGATTTAGTCTCAATTGGGCCTGTTCATTCCTGTATGCAGAACAAGTGGCAACGTAGTGTACCTGTACTGAACTTTTTTTATGATACGTGTGCACCAAAATAGTTCCATTGCTGCTTAACCTTTGCGCAATATACATGTATGTCACAAGTGCTACAGGGCGCTGAAACACACCATCATCTACGTGGGGTTGAAGCATTCATAACCTCAACGTTTGAATTTCAATTGGAAAGTTCTTATTTCCTACCTATTTATAGAATAACCGGAAACATAAAATACTAATAAAAGTGACATCAACTTTCGCCTGACAGCTTTTAAGTGTATCCAGATGAACTTAGATGTTTCAAAGAGAAGTTTGTAGAAGGCGGGTTGTGATTTGCATGTAACTGGTACAAAAATGTAATAGAAATAACTGAGTTTTGGTCAATCTATCATTTAATTAATTTATTATTGATAGCTAGTCCACCTAATATAGCACATTTTACTGTGCAAATAAGAACATGGTTCAACGTCTACGCAGTTACAGAAAAAGTCACTTTTCGGTAGGTTTTAGAACTTTGACTCAGAGGGTATGAAACGTTGGGTTTTTTCCCTGTCCGCTCATACAATGCGGAAATAAACGTAGTCTTGTTATGAGTTAATGTTGTCGGATCAAGAATACAGCGGGTAGATTTACTAAATGACGCCACGGCAGCGTTTTTGGGTGAAAACTGTCACATTGATTTCAAACAGATCTCTTTCACTGAACAACAGTACTAGAATTCAGTGCTAAGGTTTACTTATGATTTTATCAGAAAAGAGGCGAAATAATGCATTTGTTTGATTATAATTAGGGGTAATCAGACGACAAACGCTTAGTCACCCTTTGTGCAGAAAAACAGAAAAAACATATTTTGCCAAATGTTGACCTTTATAACGTATCGAACCCTCTTAATGGTCACTTTTCGATATTGGAGGAAAGAAGTGTTAAAGCAGAAAAGTGACCAGTTCAACGAATTCTTACTTGCTCATTTCAAGGGGCTCTGTTAAAAGTGTTCAGTTTCTCCCAAAAATAAACTCCCGTAAAAATCCAATATCCGGGCTTTGAACCCAAACGCACGCAGACACGCACGCAGACACGCGCGCACACAAACACCCAGAGAGAGAGAGAGAGACTAAAGATATAAAGGAATTAAAAATAAAACAGGATCTGAAGTTGTTTGTAGAATCAATATATTTTGACACCCACGTCAATTAAATTCAACCTCGACCAAAAGTTTCGTGTAGAGTGAGACCTGATTAACCTATTTTACTGGAGAAAATTTTACAGCCCACATTGTAATCTCATTTTCATTGTTTTCCAGGGGTGAATATCTTTAACCACATGTTAATAATACTTTGTCTAAATGTTAATATCGAAATAACATAACTTCTTGCAATGCTTAAAATTTTTTTAACATACGTCACATATATAGTGAAAAAGAACTTATTCTACATTTGCACATGCGTAAACGCATGACGTAGGACTTTTCATAAGGGAAAAATAACAGGATGCTTGTTTACAAAAATCAGAAAAAAAGAGCAAAGACATCATCGAATGCATTTTGACGTGGACAGATGTTACACGAGAATCTTTGCATATTGTCCGTGATGAAGTAATGGCTATATATTAATGTAAGTATAAGTTTCGATTTGATTTAGTTATCAATATCCGACGATACTCGCTGTAATATAACTTATCCGTCACTTTTATATAATTGGTCCCATAAAAAAACAAAGCCACTCGGTAGTCGAAGATTACTACTGACAGTCTTCTGCTGAGATTATGAAATGTATTTAGCCTTACGCTTTAAAAACTGCTTAGTAAAAAGAAGGGGGCGTCGTTATTGCCAAACAAGCAACAGTAATTTTCACCAAATTACCGATTTGATATAACCAGGTATAAAAACTATGCTTCATTTACAGCAATTACGGGCATTTATGTAGTTTTTGCAAACGACGGCTTGAGTGGTAGCAGGGATCATTATCAAAATGAAAAATTTAACAGCTTAAACAGGAAGACATTTAATGACAATCATCAAACATTGTATGAATAGCTGATAAAGTGAAAGGTAGAGCCATTCTGTGCACGTATTAAACAGAACTGTCGTATTGGATATAGCAGGGATCATTATCAAAATGAAAAATTTAACAGCTTAAACAGGAAGACATATAATGACAATCATCAAACATTGTATGAATAGCTGATAAAGTGAAAGGTAGAGCCATTCTGTGCACGTATTAAACAGAGCTGTCGTATTGGATTCTGCTCCGTAAAGCATTTTTATGGTAATATACTTTATTGCAAGTAGCATTGAAATCAAGCGTTCCATTTCAATAGCGACAATTGACTTTAAAATGATGTAAATGAAATGAATAAAAGATCAGAGACCTTAAATGTTAGAACGAGAATGAAATGATACATTGTAGAAAAGCCAGAAAGTTCAGGAATAACTATTATATTATTCCTAGAGAATGGTATATGAGGCTTTATTTAGGTGGTCAGGGACAGCGATAAGAAACGTTCTGTCATATTCATTTTAGGATGCTAACGTCAGGTTAACTCATGATTTGTATCTCGTTGAAAGCAGTTGAAGTTACATTTGTTCTTACATTACATACATATGAACATACACTTTAATTAACGCTTTCGTTTCGACATCTCGATGAATGATTTCATACCTGAAGCCACTTGATTGCAAATGCACTTACAGCATGCTTATCTATTTCATTATTTATTTCATTAATTGTATATTCTACTATTCATTGTTTTTTTAATCGACTTAACAATACATTTAATCTTTCTAAAGATCGTCTATCGTGGTTTCTTTTTTAAACCTTTTCATTGCTTTGGTTTATGCCTGCTTTGGCTCGTTACTGAAATCCATTGGAGGTTGATTATGAAAGGCAATATGTCAAGTTTGCAATCTATCTCAAGGCCAATTGAGCAAATGCCAAAGTTAGGGTAAATTTCCAATAGGTTCTTTACAGTGACTTTGAAAACGGTTCATATTTATATGCATCTTTATGTACACTTAACCGTGTTACAAAGGAATATGTATATATGTATACATATACAGGATTTCTAAACTTTCGCTCCCTCCCGTGTTAAAAGTTTTGTATTTTTACACTTTTTTCTCTCCTATTCCTACACAAATCTTTCACACAATTTCCCGATCTGTCAAAATTGCCCCATAAGACCACGACGCTATTTTCAAGTTAATTTCTACAACTTAATCGAAAATGCGAAAAATGCAGTCGATGTGTAAGTGAGATGATGTAAAAGGACAAATTAGTTTCGAATATGATTAATGTTGTACGCAATTTCATGGGAATTTTATCAAGGGTTAAAAAGTATGCATATGTTAAAGCAAACATTTATCATCTCCTGAAAGTAATCATCCGGTTTATAATATAGACCCCAGGGGAACGGGAAAACATTATATCACGTGCGTTGTGATATTTACATCCATTTAGTTGCTTAGCTGATAGCAACATGTGATGCAGGAAAAGTAGGTGCACGTGAAAACGTATTTTGTTAGGACGTAGTCAAACGTTACTCCGTGTGTTTTCAATTTCGGAATTTATCTTGGTTATGCCAAATTCATTGTGTTTCAGGCCAACAGGTTGTATAACTTCTCATCATGTGTTCCCTAATCAGGAACACCCCATTAGCGTAGATGGTTGAATGCTTGTGATGCGTTGCACAGGTTTCTAAGATTAACGAGAGTTTTACGTTGTTTTCTCTTCTTTTTTTCAGAGGTGCATGGAAGATGAGTGATTTGCACTGAAGTAAAACTAAAAGACGTGTTTGGCGGACTGGCAGTGAAAGCGCGTCTAACAATAAGATTTGTAAAAACACAAAGAGATGTATGACCGTAATAACGTAATGCCATTTAGCAGACACTTTTCCTGGTATCGGCAGCTTCTGACTGAACTGTTTCTACGTGACAGATGTTGACATTTATTTCTTTTCTCATTTATTTTCATTTTGTCTTCGCTTTTCTTGGATATAAGCGTGGGATAAATTGTGGAACGTAGGGATCAATTAGGCCTCCGGTGAATTCCGTCACCGTACATTGGCAGGAGGATTCTTCATAATGGTGATGATTTAGTTTGTAGCATTCTTGTGACATTTTGAAAATCGATATTTCAAAGCGTAACGTTACGCTATCTAACGCTTTGCCTTAGACGCAGTATCGAACCTCTGGGTGTGAGAAGCAACTTTTCTGAAACAAGAACCTTGAATTCAAGTGTAGGAAATGCAGAGTCGAAACACTGGTTTGCTGCCAAATATAAGTGCACAGATGAATGAATCTCAGTCGTCATCTTGCCTCTGCCAAGATCCAAGAAATGTTTCAGCGTGCGGCCTTGATCTATTCGAGCGCCATGGATGGTTCGAAATACTGTCCACCTTTGCTCCGTATGCGCTTCTCACAGATCGTATTGTGTCACCTATATGGTACATAATAGGTATAGGAGGGAACGCTGTCTCCTTCACTATATGGTCCCAGCGATGCATGCGGAGAAAAAACAGTGCTGCTAACTATTTGGCTGCCCTTGCTCTGTCGGACTTCTGTTTTCTGTTATTCCACGTGATCATGGAGATGAAAATAGCATGGGGAATCGGCACTATAGACTTTCCCGTCGTGTGTGAAGCGTTTATGGTGTGTTACTATACTTTTCAATATCTCCTGCCCTTCTTGGTGCTAGGGTTCACGGTGGAACGGTTTATAGCCGTGTGTTTCCCGTTCAGAGTTGCTAAATACTGCACTGGGGCCCAGGCTGTTAGAAATATTTGCATATTAGTGTTCATTGCTTTCTCTCTGTGTAGCCTCCAAGGGTACCTTTGGTACTACAATGGGGATAACTCTCAGTGCGAGATGCGACCCGAAGCTCTCCAAGGAGAAGACATGTCTTTCGAAAAGATTTGGACATGGGTGACCGAAATGATTGTGTTTGCTGTTGTACCACTTTTTATCTTGTGCCTAAATTTATGTGTTGTGAGAACTATCTGGAAAGTTTCACTAGAAGGACCTGTGTCCACAAGCTTCACGCGCATGATACACAAACGCACAGCAGTTAATGGCATGGCGTATTTAGCCGACGCCAAAGCATCATCAACTATTATGTTACTTTCAGTTTCTTTTTTCGTTATCTTCACAACTCTCCCGGCGACACTTGTATATGCTATGTATTCTCTAGTTATACCAGGGGACACCTGCCTAGCTGACACTGACATTGTCCTGGATAAAAATTGGCAGTCTTATTTTACGTATATCACTGTCAGGAAGATAGTTGAAGAAATCGGTTTGTCCCAGCATGCTTGTAATATCATTATATACTCTCTTACTGGGACCAAATTTAGACGGCAATTGAAGAAGTTGTTCAGGGAAAAGAAAAACCGTTCTTATGTATTTAAGGGGCGTTTTCAGAGGATTCGGTCGGTAAATGACACTAGCAGTGGACGAACACTGGGCAGCACAACGCAGAACACGAAAGTGTGAGGATCTAACAGAAGCGGAGAACTTTAAAGATGGCTTTGAAAAATGCTTTTTATAGCTCACGCACTTGAAGTAGGAGTTGAGTTTACAAGGCTCATTATCATTGGTTTTTATATTGTGTAAATGCTATATTTCTAAAGATTTATAAAAAAAACTTGCAGGAAGCAAAATTGACAATAGTAATAAATATGCTTCATCGATGTAACAATTGCAGTGACGGATTTTACCAGACAATACTGTTTGCGTTTGATGAAAAGTTAAAGGCAAATGATGTACATTACCTTTTGGTTATAGATGTTTATTATACCATATGTACGGTCATCCCTTTTAATTGCTTAAAAGAATAGATCTAAGATAAGTGCTGATTATTATTTCTGGCCAAATTCTTTTTCGCTTTCAGAAAGATTGCGGATTCTTTTCAGCATCAACTTGTCATCAATTATACATTGTCAGAATATGTTCTGTGTCTGTCAAAGATTAATTACAGAAGATAAGACTCGTTGCGATTTGCTGGAATTGATAGCGAATGATATACGATAGATTCAATAATTTCTGACATAATTTTCTTTGTATTGTTTATCGAACTGTTACGATACTTTGATCTCATTTGTAATAAACATCCATGCACCTATAAATTATTATCAGTGGAATAGTTATTGTATGTCCCTACTGAAAATTAAAATGAATCGAGCTGAGAACAAAGGGTAAAATGTGTCCTTAGTAGCATTCGTTGAGGGGATAGCTTGTGACACCAAGAATAAAGAAAAGAAAACTAATGTGTGTTGTCTTGGGATTTTCGAGGCTTAAATTCTACTTGGCCAACACTATAGCTTCTCCTGCGTTGTCAGAATTAAGGCATACCATTTTAGTAAAGAAAATCTCTGTATACACTTAACGCAAAATATCCACTACTATGCATTTCTTCTCTAAACTCACAATTACGCCACTGGGCGCATGTTTTATGGACAGGCATATTGCATAACATTTTACAGCTCTGTCCAGAGGGAGGCATGCGCAGAACAGTACAGCATGAAACTGCATTACATTCAAGTATATATATATATATATATATATATATATATATATATATATATATATATATATATATATATATATATATATATATATATAAGCAATGCAACAAGATCTGGTTTCTCTATGAAAAAGATATGCAACACATCTGTCCAGAGGGAGGCATGCACTGAACGGTACAGCATAAAACTGCATTACATTCAAGTATGTATGTATGTAAGCAATGCAACAAGATCTGGTTTCTCTATGAAAAAGATATGCAACACAAAGTTTTTCATTCCGCAAACAACACAAAAACGCGATGCATTTCCACTACACCAGCACAGGAGAAAAACAAAAAAGATAAATGCACTTTTAACCATGTTTCCGTACTCATACACGATATTTTATTATCTATTTTGCTACTCTAATGGCCAGCGTTTTGAGTTTCGGATAACCAACAAGTATCTATAACAACTCTTTATATTCACTCATAAAACAATGAAACGTCTTTCGACCTGTTTCCAGGTGTTACGAATTCTATCCCATTTCTTGCCCGAATGTAAATATAAGATGAGTTATAGTTTTGATTGTGTTTTACTGTTTACATTCTGCATTACATACAGTTTGGTTGTTTCTTTTATTTGCAGTCGACGTTTCAAAAAAAAATATATATTCATAAAACTGTCGCCAAACACCGAGTTATTATACAAGAGGACTTTTTCTTTTGTCTTATCTTTGAGTTAACGCACGGATAACCACTTCAAACTAACCTGATTATTCAGCAATTAAGCTAAAAACATGTTGCTGTTTATAAAGATGCCCCAATCGATCTATAGCAACCTCTGGGGCGTGTGATGATGATAGACTTAATAGTGAACAGTGATTGCACGACATAAATCTTTCATTTGCCTAATCATTGCAACTGCAAAACGTCATTTTTTATGTGCTAAATTCATATTAATAGTCGTAAATATAATCTTGTCGCATTGTATTTTATCATATAGGTGGCTGTATAAAACGTGAGAAATTGTTGACAGATGATGCTTGATGTAAACGAATTTAGGTCCCGTCTTTAATACACCTTTAATTTTTCTATGACAATGTGTGGCGTTGTTGATAAAAGTCTAACTTAAGCGGAAGGAACTTTAATCTGGGGAGAACCACACAAATCCTCGTTAAGCCTGTGCTATTTCTTCTTTCCCTATTAACAAGATAAATGTTATTCAACATTGGGTAATTGGGAGAATCGTTTTGTTTCAAATCTATCCAGGTTTTCATGCATGTCAGGAGGAATGAAACTTAATTCGCACGCTCTGTCTCAGTCTCGTTAATGTAATCATTAATCACTATATGTCATTTTTTGTATACAGCACAAATCATTTTAACTCGTGCTCAGATGATTTGGCATTATTCTATTGCTATTGCTGTTTCTAGGAATCGATCTAGGCAACCTTGTCAAGCTGTTGTTTTTTATGAACATTATGATGCCTGGTTCTTTAATATCTTTTTTTTTTCTTTTTCAACAAACAGGCATCATGTGAAAGCAGAAAGAAAGAAATTAAGTTGACATAAGAAACAAAACCGAAATACTGAGGAAAAAGCAAAGAAATGTAATAATAACCTACATAGAATCACTAACAACATTGATGGAACAAGCTTATCGGCAGTGCGTTTATACTTTGAGTGGAATTTAAATGTTACTTCAAAAGTGCTTTAATACTTAACCTGTGTACATATTTTGTGGCCTTAAAGATTCGTTGTTTTAAAGATCCACCACGGTTAGGTGCTCAATCGATTATTTAGGTTTAGTAGTTGGTCATTTTCTTTTTACGGGTGTCTTAAAAGGAGCTGTGATTTGATTATCTTGTATTCTATGGGAATTTGAATTGCTCTCAGCCTAGGCTTTTCATATACGAACATGTGTTGTGTCGAGATTATAACCTGTTACTTGATGTGCAGATATTCCTTGTATTTGATGTTGCACCCGCGTGTACAATCACACTTGGTTACGAGTAAACGAAACTTCATGCCCTGGCCCCAGTTTCACACACGCACACGCACGCACACACACACACACACACACACACACACAAGAAGTCAGTTCCCTGGCTTAGTTGACTAGCATTTCCATGAGAGTTCTCTTACACTGCTCCTGATAGGGTAATTTGTGCTCATGTGACCATGTAACATTGGTAATTAAGTTCTGACTTAAGTTTTTTTTTTGTGTGTGTGTGTGTGTGTGTGTGTGTGTGTGTGTGTGTGTAAAGCCGGGGCCTGGCTTTACGTTTGCTATGGATTTCTACCATATCGTGAAGGTCAGCATATAAAGGTCAGCGATATAACATGGTATCTTGGGAGACGTTTTGAAGTTCCACGAGGGCAATATAATTCCATAAAAGCCCCTTTACCTCTTTTTTTAGTAACAACCTTTATCTTTACCTATTTTATGGTGTATACTCTATCAGAATCCTATTTATCGGTTATCTAGAATCGTTGACCCATAACGAATGGGTATCTGGTGAAGTTCCCACACCAATGGCCTAGCTATATGAACAAGGTGTTAAAAACTACCTATCTCATATTTGATCCATTTTGATAAAATCTAACCTCTTTCCTTATCCTTGCCCTTTATGAAATATGAAATAACATCATGCATAATGTATTTATTGTGATTATAAAGTATTGTTCTAACCCATTTATCAAAAAGAGGGCGTTTTAATCAGGATCCACAGGCGGTTTCAATCTTTTCGCTAAACACTGACGCACCGTTACTATAAGATTATGAGGAATGAAAACAGTTGCTCCACTTCTTAAACAACA